TTTTCACAAGCACTAAAAAAGTTACAGTATTGAAATTAACCTGACATTTTCTACTACCAAAAAGACACTTAGCCAGTAATTTATTTGGTTTACCCCATGGTTGTGAAGGGTGGAGAACGCAACCCCTAAATTTTATTTCCAATGTAACTTTTTGTCTTATTATTTGTTTACCATTTGAAAACTTATTTCCGATAACCTGTTTCATTCTGAACACAAAATGTCCCCTAAATTCTTAACCCAAAATAAACCAATTGGCAGCAGAAAAATATTTTTTTCTGTGACGGGAAAAGTTTGGCATTTCATCTCTGTTGGCAGGTTATAAAATGTCACTTTTCATGAACTACTTTTTTCCCATGGCAAAAAAGTGAGTACTTTTTCCCGGATATATATCACATATATATACACTGTTATTGATGGCTTTTGTTGTGCTATAGTTCCGAAAAATGAGTCAATAATACCGTCTCCGAGAAAGTCTTTTTATCTTCCATTCGACTTAGCGGTTACGTATATTACTAAACAACCACTAAATTCGCAATTTTTTGAAATCAAATCACAGAATTAGACTGACAGAAGTGACATCAGATATTTTATTACTTCAAAAGAACGATAAGATGCCTACAACGCAGGTGTGTCCCTATATTATTAAAAACTTAAAATTTCACGTCGATAATTTTCTGATTTCAGAATAATGTAATATTCTCTCAATATTGATTCGTCCTTTCTTCTGTCACAGAAAAAAATAGTGTTTTATACACGGGAAAAATATTAGATTTCAGCTCATAATAAATAACTATTACGATCAACTACAGAGATACATAGTCATAAAGGCGAACTGGATTTATTGTCATTTTGTAGCTACTACCTGTGTTAAATGATTGAGGGGATCAAACCATGGAGTAAACGAAATAAATTACTGGCAAAGTGTCTTTTTGGTAGTAGGAAATGTCAGGTCAATTTCAATTTTGTAACTTTTTTAGTGCTTGTGAAAGAAATTTGTTGAACAAATTTTATGTACCCCCTTCAAGGGGCTGTATCTTAACATGGGATGTGGGATGCTTTAATGAAGTTTCTTCAAATGCAAGATTCTATCTCTTTTTCGATGAGGAATCTCCCCCTCAAATGTTTTAGACTTATTTAGTTACACCCTGTATATGTTTTATCACAATCATATTACAACTTATTTCGTATATTCCCGACTTTTCAAAATCTAAGTCTTTGAAAACCTTATCAAGTTCCTTCGTATACTTGGGATTGAACGGGATTGGGATTCTTCTAGAGTTCTTTTTATCCATTTGAAAAGTCGTAGAATTTCGATGTGTTAACTTAAATTTATGTCTTGCCTGCCTGATATTTTGTTACAGGATACAACAGATATACAGACATGCTGGTTGCACCAAAAAGTCAAGAATGATTCATAATATATCATGGCTTACTCTTATTATGTTTCATCTCGTGTTTTATCCAACGCCAGGACTCTAATCTTTATGATAAATTGATTATAATTGGTGACTTGACAACGTTGCTTCATGAGTGGAAATGAAAGATTATTTTTGCAGTATTGCAGTATCATTGTAGAGAAAAGTGTTGTTCATCTGCCTGCCTCGTCTTCATTGAGCAGATAGTTGATGAATTGATGAATTACAAAAATATGTCGCGATCCAGTTACGAATGTTGGGAATATTATTCAGGTATGTTTTAGATTCAACATCCACGTTCCGCCTCTCATGAAAATCAATATTAATTATTATGGACTTCGATATTTGATGTCATGTTTATTTGCAGATCTGAGAAGCAAAGTGTTTGATACTTGTCACTGAATCGGAGAAAACCATCCAGTCACGACGAATCGAACAAAAAATCCGTAAAGAAAAATGGCCAGAGAATACTTTACAGAATTCAGATCCTTATATTCGTACGGAAAGCGATATATTGATATCCTTTCCAGAATCTCAAGAAAACAGATAAGACAGAGATTCACCTTTATGTCTCTATGGAAACACGACAGGTACCCTTACGAGGAGAGAGTATCAACTCGGCGTTTATAAACCCTCTCTGCAAAGGAGGTAGGCGCATGGTGGGTTAGGTATATACAGTGTTCTTCATTGCAGAGAAAATTGTTGTTTATCTGCCTGTCTCGTCTTCATTGAGATAGTTGATGATTTGATGAATTACAAAAATATATCGCGTTCCAGTTACGAATGTTAAAAACAATATCCAATATGTAGGTCTCACGATCCAAATTTGAAATTGATCCTTAGTTTTAGATCCGAGCAGCACATCGTTTGGCCTTCAAGGTCCTTAATATAACCCACGTACGTGATTGAAAATGTGGAAGATGCCTACTAGAGGAAACACTATTCGGAAAGAAAGCGGATATGTAGTTACAAACGTTGAAAATATTATTCAGGAATGTCTCAGATTCAACATCCATGTACTTCATCTGATTATATCAATTTTCTGATTCAAATGTACTTCGATTGATATGTGATGTTCTGTTGCAGATCAGAGAAGCAGTATCTGATACTCATAAATTGCCACTCAATCGGAGAAAACCATCCAGTCCATACGAACCGAACAGAAGTTTCACAAAGTGAACTGACCAGAGTTTGAGTCTGAAGTTGAAAATTTACATCTCTTTCAGATAAAAATGTATATGTAAGTGTATAATATCATTCAGAATATTCAACAGAAAACAGTTACTTTCTTATTGGCTATTCGCCTCGTCGAACATTCAAGTACATATTTGTTGAACACCCAATATGAGAGGATATCAATAATACTTTCATACCATACTAATCAAGGGGTTCTACCTTGAGCGATGGAAATCACAGAATCGTGATAAGGTTCTCTCAATTAACAATTTTTTTCGACGACCTGTATATACGATGGATATCAATTCATCATCCCTACTAATGCTATAAATATGAATGTAAGTTTTTTTGTCGGGCTTTCACGCCCAAAGTACCAAACCGATTATCATGAAATTTTTTTATACATATTCTTAGATATATTATAGCTATAGCGTTGATTGATATATTACGCTTAAGCTTAAGCGTAATATATCAATCAACGATTATAGGATGGACATAGGATACTTTTTATAGAAAGGGAAAAAATTTTCACCAGCAAAAACATTTATTGTGGCTGACATGGTTGTTGGACACAAAATATCCGACAATCAGACATGACCTCGAATGTAAATGTATGTACCATAGATATTTATTATTATAATACGTCTTTTGGGACTGGTAAGCTTCGGATTATTCAGATGATGAAATGAAAATGACAAATATCTAACCAAACATCAGGTGGGCACTACGAGAGCGCAAATTTATTACTGCATGGAAGTTACCCCTCAGATATTTTGCTATTCAGTGACTTGACCACGAATGACATTGCTTAGTATTCTGATTCGGAGGATTGAAAGAAGAGTTGCCGTACCATTTAATAAATTATGCCTACATTTAGGAATTTGTGAAAAACTGCAAAAATGATTCCCAACGTGAATATATACAGTACACATCACATATGAGCACATTAGTTAAAATACCTACATAAAATTCTTCACTATTTCTCAACCATAAGTCTTTTTTAGTCTGATATCAAAATTCATTTATTGATAGGTAGGTACTGCATAAAAACAGTCCCATTTGGGAAAACGTACTCAACTTTCAGAAAAATTTGCTCACTGCCTCACAAAGATTATGCTGGAGTTTAAAAATCAAAAACTCGAGAATTTTCATCATAATTTGGATATAATATGTAGAGTTGAACGAGAAATTACATGTGGATATTACGTATGATACGCCAATGTCCTCAATATAACCTAAAAAACAACAAATGTCAGAAATCAGAAATGAATAAAGATGGAACTATATAACTGTTTCACAAACACTTTGGAGTGAGAGGAGACGAGGATCTGTCCGTACGTCCGTACCCTGTGACAAATACTAGGGTCCCTAGATGCAAACTGACGTATTTGTCACCTAACAAATACGATCAAATTACTACAAGTTGTAAGTTGCAGTATTTCAAATTACTTCAAGTTGCAGTAAATCGAATGACTGCAAGTTGTGAGCTGCAGTAGTTTGTACTCCTTTATTTTTGGTGACCCTTCTACGCTTCTGTGATAATGAATAAAGAAATACAACATCCAGTGCATGAAAAGTTAGAGCCTTCGATCTAGTGCGGCATTACGGCGAGCGGCGAGTGGAAAACGATATAAGATGCTTATATACCTGCATGCGGTGAACATGAGTTCTTCAATGTCAGCCTAGCCGTATCCCTTCTACCAACCTTGATCCTAGTCGCCCTAGCCACAGGCTGATAGAACTATTTGTCTTACGTCAAGTTACGTCAATTGTCTGACACTAATGACATTTTTGACAGGGATCCAAGAGATAAAATCAAAATCATTAGAAAATAGAAATGGCGTTTCGAGGGTTTTACATCTTTTAGCACATGTCATTTTTCTCCGGTAAGAAAAAAAATAATCAATCACTCAAATGAAGCAGTGAATTTTCAATATTAAAATACGTGCAAGAAAATGTGTAATTCAATTATTTATAATTTTGAGTAGATTACAGTTGTGTACATTTATGATTTTACACAGTGACGTAAACGTCCAGTAATATTTTTGTACTGTCATTACAGATGACAAAAAATTAGAGAGTAATGAAATAATTTAATCTACTAATGGTTTTATCATTCTTTGTGATATCTTCGATTGTGCAATAATCTTTTGGAACAATTGCAATTCATCACTGAACGTTTTTAGGACCACCCAACTTTTTCGGCTGAAGACTACTAGGAAAATTACAAGATTTGTCCCATAACAGATTCAGTAAGTGGAGATCTCTCATCAGAAACATGAAAAATATATTTTGTACCTATGTGTTGAAGTTTATCTATATACAAGTACAAGTTTCTAAATTTATCTTTTGGAATCAATCCAAGAAGTTTTGAGTTCACTATGCTCTATATTAGACATGGTATAAAATAAAAGAACTAATGGACCTTTGATTTTATTCCCATTGGCATTTAGAATGACATGTCAAAGAACTGTTTATACTATTACATCAGTTACTTGTTGATGAATCAAAAACTTGTAGTTGAGATAAGGAGACTTCTTAAAAAAAATCAAAACATCTAGAATCTTGATCATGATATTGGATACTTGTGATGAAGCTGATCATATATATTGAGACCAATTGTAGTTATATTTTAAAGTAAAGTAAAGTAAGTATTTGAAAGGTGAAAGCATTAACAGTTTCTTTTTTTGTGCACCAGAGAATGGTTTGTCCTCCAGAAGATGGCCTCTGTATTAGGGTGACAGTTCTAGATACTATAGGGCTGTCAGAAAAGTCACAATGCTTTATACAGCTCATACCTTCAAGGACCATTGAGAGTATTTTCCAGGAAATATCAAAGGAATTCATTTGCAATGCTGATGATATTGAACTGACTCTGCAGTACAAAAAAGGAGATATTGTGAGTATTCATAATTTTCAATACCTACTAGTGCTTCTTGCAATTGTTGTGATTCATTCACAAGATGACCTCAATAATAAATTTTATGGTTGTTATATTTTTTGGAATTTAAATTTTATATGTAGTAGTAATAATCATCTAACTAAAATGGTTCAAATATTGATATAGTCTCAAATAAAATGTAAATATTCTGAAATCAATTATTGTAACACACAGAAGTGAACAATGATACTATTTTATATTGATACTCATAATATTCCTATCAGACATTGGAAATGAAACCTCATTTTTTAACAATAGTGGTCATTGGAACAAAAGATGTAAACATGTGTCTTTTAGTATCAGCAATGGATGATAAGAGTTATAACATCATTATTTTATTTGCTATCAATCAACTGTGATTCAGATATTGAAGTATTATCTCTCAACCATTAGTGTTTGAAAGAATATGCATGTTTTTGAAGCAATAATAGATGATAACTGCAATTAAGATTAACTCAATTTCAACTACAATATATCCTAAGCTGTACCTGTATATTTAGAACCTATTATTTTGCCTGTGTCAAATTTGCCAGACTAATAATCATGTAGATGCCCACACTAGCTGAAAAATTCCCTTATATCTATTTCAAAGTCATAAAAGCAGGAGCTTAAAGTGCAGCAAAAATATGATGAACACATTCTGGGGCCAAGTTACATGAAAATCACATGCACTAGAGGTTTATAGCAATAGTTGGAATAAACATTGAATGGGTTGCATGCAAGATCAGGTGACCAATCCTGAGTTGAAACATTGAAACACAACCTCACTTTTTTAATTTGTTTACATAGGATTGAATTGGTTTTTCTTTTTCACAATTATTTTGGCATAGGAATCATGATTGTTGGCTATTCATTATTTCAAGCATGCCATCACATTGTGCTGTTGTACAATGCACAAAAATGCAGGGAGAGACAAAGGACTCCAATTTTTCAGGTAGCTATGTAATGTGATTAAAATTGTGTTCAAAACTAAGTCCCTCACTTATAGTTTTCATTTTGAAATTTTGTCATTTCTCTCTCCTGCAATATGAGCTAATATAAATACTCCTGAAGTTTCTAAAAGAATGCAAAAAGATTGGATTCATGCAATCAAACAGGAGGACTGGTCTGACATGCTGAGGAAATATGATCATGTGTGTTGTAGACATTTTCAATCTATTAGAAGTATCAGCTTCTATTGCAGAAGTGGCAGAAGGGAATAAGAAATGACAAAATTTCATAATGAAAACTATGTGAGATTACAATTTACCATTTTTTGTGTAATGTACAACCACACAATGAGAAGGCATGCTTGAATAGGTATGGAAAATAGGTATGATCATGTGTGCTGTAGACATTTTCACTCTTAGTGGTATAAGTTTCTATTGCAGATGTGGCAGAAGCAATTCTAATGAGAAATGACAAAACTATGTGATTCCTTTGTTAACAAATGAGAAAAGTGAGGTTGTGTTTCAATGTTTCATGAAAAAGTGAGGTTGTGTTTCAATGTTTTACCTCCAGGGTCTTTCATCCTACAGGTGACCTATACTGTCTTCTATGTCCTAAATTTCCTGTTATGTTCAAGTACCTTCAATCATAATAATAAAAATGTATTGAGATTGAGTATTATCACATCATCATCTTATATAAAATCACAAAAATCATAACAGTCAAAGATTTGTTTATTTGAATTTTACACTGCCTGCATAACCATTTAATACCCACCTAGGTTAGATGTTATCAAACAAGCAAACTGCTGGTTGCTGTTTATCAGTGAATATATTGGTCAACTTGGGACAACTTTGAACTCACAAATAAAAACCAATTTTTCATCACAAATACACATTCTACACTGAAACCTTCCTAAGCTTCATTCAAATCATTTTTTTCTATTCCTGAAAGATGGTGCTGTAAACGAAAATAATATCTATTGAATATTTTTACAAGAGCTATCAAATGATGCCAAATTTGTCAAATCCATCCCCACCTTCAGCTGGGGGGTGAACTTCAAAATCTTGAATGAATATTTCTTCATCACATATTCTCATTCTCCAGGAAATTTAATTTGAAAAGGTGAAAAAAAAACTCAGGAAAACACAATTCAAAAATATCAAGTTCATGATTATTTTCTATTAGACCACCATTGATAATTCCTATATTGAAGGATACTTTTGAAGTTTGAAATCCTTTATTTATATTGCATTGATCTAATATTGTGCATAAACTTCCCTGTCAGCTGTCAGTGCTGTCAAATGCCAACTAACGCTGTCTTTCGGTGCGTTAAAGTACCGTTTCCGAGACCATTTCATCAAGCGGCAGCACTGATGAAGAGTAGGCCTAACTACCATCAAAAATAAGTATTTCAAACATAAATCCAATACGGAAGATACTTTGATAAATGTCATAAGTCATAACCCATTATGTATGATGTTTTTTTTTTCAGTAGATTTCTAAACTTTATATTTCCTCTTTTTCATATCGCACCGTTGCGACAAAAGTGTCACAACTCGAATTTCTCCTAATTTGACCATCAACCATCAAAATTGAATTATGTCAGATTTCATGATGACTCGCGAGATGGTGTTTGTGTCGTTTTTGACGATTCAGTACCGGGCGACACTGGATCGGCAGAACTGTCGCATTTTTAGTTTAACCATGTTCAACTCTCGCCTTTGTACAGGAAAGATCTGGCAATAATTATTTTAAAAAGTGTTATTTTGAGATGCCGTTTCTGCCGATCCATGTGGAAATGTTTGATAGGTATGTAATATTTTGAGTTGGTACAGTTTAAATAATCGATTCCGGTTTGCAGTAAGCTAATAATTATATTTGTGTCATTTTAAAGGATATAATATTGACAACAATACTACCAATAGATATAAAGATGAAATGGAATTCAATAAAAGTTCTTAGAGTTGAGAAGGATTCATTCTCCTCACAACTTATTTTATGCATCATTTGATGTTGATGAGTGCATAGTTTAGATCGATTGCCATGGTTGAGAGAAGTAGATCTAGAAAAAATAAATTTTGAATAGATCCATCCAACTACAGCATTTATGGGAATAACTTATTGCCACTGGGGAAAAACGAGATAAGAGATTTGCAAGAACTGATGAACAAAAATTGTGGAGATATCTCGTTTTATAATCTCCTTTTTTTAAAAAATTCTTGGTTGAAGTTGTTAATTGCTTTTACCAATTATTGTTGTTGAACTTCCTCATTCCGTTTGGATCTTCTAAACCAAAGATTGGTAAGATGAGTGATCTCAGTAGGTAGGTACAACTAGAGTCACTGGATGGTATTAGTTTGATAAGAGTTCGGACACAGCTGAACTTTTGTCCTTTTCTATTTTCTATAATACAATGGTTTAGGTGAATAAAAGAATAAGACATATATTCGGCTCTTTGTCTTTTCAATTTCCCTAGTAGTGCCTGATTGTCAAATACGATTTTAGAGGTTATATTTTCTGTCAAATCAATCATAGCCGTAGATGGACAATGGGTATAGGGTACAAACACCCAATTCAATTTATAGTGATACACTTCTAACAGAACAAGTGTTATATAAATGAAAAGAATGCATGTAACAACATTTTAATATTATAAAATATACAAATATGGATGAACTTATAGCTATAATTCCTTATTATATGTGAAACTGTATTCCAGTGATGAGTATAAAACATGATAGATAGATATTCTCAATATACAGGAAGTAACATAAGTACTTTCAAGTGAAGTATTCCTGAGACAATTATAAGAAATAAAGTCTATATAAGCTTTTGTGTCCGGAAATGCATCATTTCGTAGATACAGAGTGCCAGAGTGCTGAAATACAAAGAACAAATCATTTTTCGATAAACATTTGATAGGAAAAAAGTAGTTTATTTTGAAGAGATCTACCAAATACTTGGTTTTGCAAAGTTCTCAGCAACTCCACTTAGCGCCCTAGGAGCTAATAAGTAACATGGATCGATATAGAAAATATCTCCAAAACATTAACCTCCAGCGTAATTAAGGCTCTTATAATAATTACCTTGATACATAAATAACTATTCACTGTCCACTGTTGAATTTTAAATTTGGTCGGCACCAAAAACGCCATTCAATAATATATCACTCTGTAGTTTACTTGCTTTTCTTAGTTTCGTTTTCAAATTCTCAATTTCATTATGTAATTTTGCGATCATTTCCTCTTTTCCATGATCATTTCGTTTTGTATTTTGTGTGATGATAATAATGGAAATTTTTTCTCGAAATCGCCAGCTTTGTAAATTGATGGAACAGCAGATTCTCACAAACAGAATTTGAAATCTTCTCTTTGAAGATGGGCCTAATATATAGGCCATTTCATATCTTCCTTCCATAAGCGAATGGTTGATATTTGTTTCGGAAAATTGAATAAATGATATCCATTTTCTTCAGAATTGGCACAATTTATCACACAGCAAGTAATTTCCATAGCAGCTTTCATCTCGAATGTATAATTATGAAATTTTATTTCAATTCTGACGTTTATAAAATGTATTGTCAAATTCAAACAATTTTGAATGAAAAAGCGCGGGACAACTATGTTGCTCTTGTCACAATGCAAGGTGTGAAACTTAATAAATCTAAACACTCAAAAACCCTAACCGTTGTCATTTCTGTGTCCGAACTCTTATCAAACTAATAACATCCAGTGACTCTAGGTACAACTACTTATGGCATCTGAATGTTCCAAAAGTTACAATTTGTTAAAGGTCTTTAAATTTGTTGTCGACCTTGGAATATGTCTAACAAAACTCTACCAAAACTCTTTCGTTTATAGGACGGCAAAGCTTTGTAATTATTTGCCAGTGGGAGTATTTTCGAGACCTTCTAACCGTTCTGGATTCAGCAATGATTAGACTGATTACTGTTGGATAATGACAGTTGTTGGCAGGAGCTTGGCAGTCCTTTCATAATGGGATGTTATATTGAGTGTTGTAGGTAATCA